CTTTAGTACGCGGAGTATCTGGGGAGCTGGAAGATGAGAACTGGCGACTTTGTAGTACAACTTTAGTACGCGGAGTATCTGGAGCTGGAAGATGAGAACTGGCGAAGTTGTAGTACAACTTTAGTACGCGGAGCATATGGGGAGCTGGAAGATGAGAACTGGTGACTTTGTAGTACAACTGTAGTACGTGGAGCAGTCTGTGGAGCTGGAACCTGAGAACTGGCGACTTTGTAGTACAACTTTAGTACGCGGAGTATCTGGAGAGCTGGAAAATGAGAACTGGCGACTTTGTCGTACAACTTTAGTACGCGGAGTATCTGGGGAGCTGGAAGATGAGAACTGGCGACTTTGTAGTACAACTTTAGTACGCGGAGTATCTGGGGAGCTGGAAGCTGAGAACTGGTGACTTTGCAGTGCAACTTTAGTACGCGGATGAGTCATCTCTCGCGGCTGAGTCATCTCTCGCAGCTGCTCTGGCGCCCCTGCAGCTGAGTCATGTCTCCCGACCACCCGGCTCTCTTAAAAGGTTGACACACACACACAGAGAGACCCACGCACTGCCTCAACTTACTCGGAGACACACACACAGACAGAGACTCATACACACACAGACATAGATACACACACAGAGACCCACACACTGCCTCAACTCACTCGACTTAACACTTCACACTGAACACTTAACAGATAACTCACACTCTGACTTCCTACGTGATGAAAAATGCTTTCGGGCCACTCGTCGTCTAGTTCTTTTTCTCTTTCTCTCCTTCTCCGCTGGGAGAATCCTTCTCCCCTCCAACTGCCTTGCCACGAGCCGCATAGTGCTCTCTCAGCTTGGCCATCTCGTCGTGCTCCTCCGGCGCTGCCTTCACCTCCTCAAACAACGTGTGCCATGGCTTCTGACGCTCACCGACTTCCCAGTACCCAGCGGCATGCAGCACGTCAGGCCCTGTCGGTGCATGGCCACAGTCTTTTGGGCAGATGTGCAACTGCATGGTCCTCCTCGATGGCTCCCTCAACACTTCCACAAGCTTCTCTGTCTGGGTTCCGGTCACCTTGAACTCTAGGAAGTCGGCATCACGGCCCAAACCTGTGATGTAGCCTGCCACCTTTACGAGCCCATCATAGTAGTAACCGTATGCTAGCTCCACCAGCCCCAAACATCGAAGCTGTGCAGCCGTGAGCTCAAGGAGGTAGGTGAACTTCTCAGTCTTCATCTCCTCTGGACTGGCTGCCGGCTTCCGTCGAGGAGGCGCGCTCCTTATGGCAGGCCTTCGACGTACTGCCATCACCACCAGCGGTTATTGAACTTCTCCTGTTTCGCCCTCCGGGTGATGCCCTTGTTCTTGCCGGTGTACCACCGCGGGTGCGAGCTCCAGGGAATGGGACCGATCCACCCACGCCCTCGCTCCCTGGCAATCGGAGGCGGACTGGGGCTGCGGGCTGGTGCAGGTGGAGGGTCTGGTGGCGGCCCTGGAGGCGTATGGGGGCTTCGGGGGCGCGGCGGTGTAGGTAGCCGCTTGAGGTCCTTTCTCTTGGCGGCCCGGACTCGTGCCCCCGACACTGATGATCCAGGGCTGGTCGACCTTCTGCGCCTCTTCTTGTCGCGCTTCTCTTTTTCTCTTCTTCGCTTCTCCTTCTTTCTTCTCCTCCTTGATGAACTGCTTGTCGATGTCCTGGACTTTTTCTCTTTCTTTGTCTCCTTTACTTTGGGAGTATCCTTTACCTCCCTTGGGGGGCTCTCAACCTCTGTCTTTGAGGTGGGCTCAACGGCCTTCTTCGGCTCGGCCTTCTTCTTGGCAAAGAGGCCCAAGCTGGGGGAACGTCCTCGAAGTCTTTCTCCAGGCGGCTGGCTGGGGCGTGGTACTGCACGGCTCTGGGAGGTTACTTTGCTGAGCTCCCTCCCTTCAACAGGCAATGCAGGTTCAGGCTTTGGTGCTGGCACGACAGGTTGGGAGGCCTCAGAATCGCCTCCCTTCTCACGGGGTTGCGGGGGCACGGGTGGTGCCTTTGGTGGAGCTCCCCGGGCACTCTGTGAACTCTCGGTCTGGGCTGGATTCTCTGGGGCTGGAACTGGGCGGCTGTCCTTAGCTTCTTCTTTCCTTTTCAACGGGCTGCGCTCTCGAGCTCCTCGGGCACGGTGGTCTCTGGTGGCCTCCTCCTGCTCCAACTCTCTTACCTTGGCCACCCACTCCTCCAGCAATGTAAAACACTCCTGGAGGTACACCACCGCCTGTTCGTCCCTCTTAGGTGCTAGCACTCCGCGCAAAGACACCTGAAGCTGCCAGAGCTTTCGGCACGGCTCGCAGGTGCTTAGTCCTGGCTCTCGGACTACGAAGTGCAAGCACCTGTCGCACACTGGGAGAGAGCCACTTCGACTCTCTCCCATGAACCCTTGAAGAGCCCGATGCTGCGGTGAAATTAGATAGGTTCTGTGCTTAGCTATGTGGACATTTATCCATATATGGCTGGTGGTAGCAACATATAAATCACACCAAAAAAAACTCCAGGTGCAAAATAAGTTTCGTGTTATTGATTGATATGAATAAGTGTCTAAATCATGTCGAGAACTTGAGGACCCACGCGGTTGTTTTGAACAAGTTGGAGAAAAGAAGTAGGGAGGCTTATGGGTCCCCACCTAGGTGGTCTCATGTTGGACCTATTTTGGCAATGTTCATTGTCATATCACTTATGATTTCAGCAGTCTCTGACTATCCAAATATACATATATATATATATATCGTATATAATTTCATCTCTAACCACCTCAGAATATATAACCAAAATTGTTTTGAGGTGGGTGGTATGGTGGGTGGTCTATGGTAGGGTTTATGATGGTTTATGTTCAAATCCAGTAGTTTTGATGGTGTTTGTGATGGTCAAGAGGTGCTGAACCAGAATCACCCAGCCCATTTGTATGTTCTGATGTGTATTGCGGCGACTTGTGATTGTGGTGAAGTGCAGTGTGGTGACTTCTGTCGCGGTGGTGGTCATGTGATGCAAAAATCGCTTTGTGGCACGGTTCGATCTGATGATAACCGCGTTTCGATACGGCCGTCTGCAGAGAACTTTGCCAGTCGATACTTGTCTTTAGAAGTCTACCTTTGGGTCCTTCCGTGAGACTTCAGGTGGCTGGCGTATACTCCCAAGCTTCTCTGCACAGAGAGCTGGAGCGACTCCATGACTATTGGGCTTTCTTTCTGATGGTTTCCTAGTGCTCTCGCACACTCAGTAGCATGAGGCTTGCAACCGTGACCGTTGCCATTCGAAGTGATCCCGCAATGGCAACTGTACCCTTTCTGCTGTCCTCAGCTTTGTCTCTTGTGGAGCTGCCCTTCTTCTCCTTTCGCAGCTGGCTAGAGAGGAGAAAGTGTTGCCACACACACACATACATATTCATCCGAGAATGCCGACTAGGTAGTAAAGAACGCGAGCAAGTAGCAAACTACTCAAACATAGTCCGAATGCAAAGCTCATGAAAGCTCCAGTGCTCCTTCTTGGATTGGGCAATGAGTTTCCTGGCTTCCTTGCGACCATGGAAGAAAGGAACCTGCAGTGCAGCTGAAAGATCCGAATGGCCATACTTGCCCAAGACCTAGCACGCCAATCATTACAAGTTATTTCCACAAAATGCATGTTCCAATGTAGGTGTGCATGTACCAACGTACTTTCCTTGGATTCATGCATGTGGGCGTCGTTCTTTCAAGTGTAGCTATACATGGCTCCATAGATCCGAGCGGTGACGTGATATACACCGGGGAGAAAGTTGTTGGCGCAACTCAAAAATCCAAATAGCGGGAACAGCCGCGCCATGTAACTCCTTTTTCTCGCTATTTGGCCGTCATAGATGGCGCAACTGGTCTTTGGATTGCAGAAAATTAAAATTCTGCGGGGTGTCTGTGCGGATACTAGTTTTCCCTATTTCCCAAAAAAAAGTTTGGGGCCTATAGATGGCCCAATGGCCAAGTTCTGTACATTTGGCCTGCCGGCTGCAATCTGGCTATACTGTGAAGAAGAGTGTTACAGTAAGTACTGTAAAAATCTGTAAAAATCACTGTTACAGTACTACCTACGACATCAGGGAAATGTGTGGCCCGGTACCAATAGTGATTTCCTCATATTTCTTCTTGATTTCCTCTTGCCTCTTGAACTTATTCGTTTCCTTTTGATGTCCTTTTGCGGTGGGGCAGCGGTCCCAATCTCCGCTATTTTCTGCAAAATAGCGCACAAAATCATGCAGAATCTTCCTGTTTTTTTAGCCACGGGGCGCATAGATGGCGCAACACACCTGAATGCCCCTGATACCTAAATCTGGCGCAATAAAAAAAGTCACCTCATCAATTTTCCCTGCGGAGTACATGCAAAACACCTTAAAAGTGTGTTAAAATCAAGAGCTCTCAATCTTGCTTTCCTGAAGAGAACGCAAAGCTGAATCAAGTATATAATGCGAGCTTCGTTTTGCTGGTCTGGCCCACCGCCTTGCCAGTGGTCTTCACCTTCTCTCTCTCCTTTGATTTCAGGCTGAGCTCTGCCGCGCGGAGCTCTCCAAGATGCTTCCTTCAATTTCGTTGGCGGTCAGGTTCCGGCTAGGTTTCATGTTCGTTTTACCCAAAAAACACAAGGTCAATCTGCCACCCACTGACTGCTCCAAACCAGCTTCTGCAACTCTGCAGGCCTTTGCTTGTCCTGCTGAATTCTGCACTTGATCCTGGGCTCACACTGTGCACAAGTGTGGGTGCTGAAGCATCGGTCTTGAGGCATCTTTGAGATGAGACTCTCTTTAGTCAACTCTTCCTCTTTACGCGCTGCATCAGGATCCTGATTTGCATCATTGCACGGTGTCCCGTCGGTGCATTCACACTAAAATGGATGATAACTTCATGGAGCTAAAACATTGAACTGATTGTCCTTTCTCCTCTTCTTTGTGTTTAGCTTCTGCTTGGCTTCCTTTAGTTTCTCCAACTCTTCAGTACGGTACCTGCATCGCAACCGGGATTTGGGTCTGCCCAAATGCAAAGTTTCCATCGTGCCATCGGAGCCAGGCAAGGGCACTCCTCCAAGAAGGCATATGCTTTCCTGGGTTGGCCAAGACTGATTGAGCCATGGCAACGCCAAGCCACTCTGTCAGAGGCATCAAATCCTCCAATTTGGAAATGCCGGTACTTCAACAATTCGGCGTGTTTCGACTGGCTCGATTCTGAGCGTCATCCTTTGGAACTCAGTCCAAGCCACGTAAATCCATCCACGTCATACGAGCCACTGGTCTCATCAAAGCGTGGATCCCGAGGGCGCATAGAAGCCACCTCTGTGGGACCCTAAACACACAAAACAGTGTCCAGACCCCAGCGCCCCCAGCCTTTGCCCCCACTCTGGAAGCACCAGCTGCAGGTGGAGCGATGGGTCTCCCAGAGGACACTTCTTGCGGAGCGCCTTTCCTCAAACAGAAAGACTGCTACAAGCTGGAAGGCTTGTAGCACAACTTATCTTACCAACACAGCTATAGGAACCTGATCCCAAGATCGTTAGAAGCAGTGCGGAGCCGCTCATTCAATGCAACTCTCCGTGCGCACTGTTTTCATGTCACCACGAGAGAAACTCTCCACGTCGTTCAGAAGGTTGTAAGAAATGCGGCGCTCGCGTAGCGCCGAGAATGGGGGCTCTGGTCTCGTCCTTTTTGCCTGAGACAGCCTAATAGAAGAACTCTGGTGGACTTTCCATCGCTGTCGGATGTCATACTCTGGTTGACACTTCCACCCTGAAGAAATCCCTCCTAATTGTATGGTTGGGGTCGGCTTGTTTGAGAAAGTCGCCGGGAATCTCCGTATGCAATTCCTTTTTCCAACCACCCAATTTCCAAAACAATAGAGTACACTGTGAGTACACAAAACGTGCGATCACTGAGCAACATCTTAGCCAAGCAGGTTGCTATGACTGACGACCTTCTGTATTCCCACGCCAATGTGTGCACCCATTGCCTGAAGCTGAAGCTGGAGATGCAGAAAAAAAGGGTTGTGGAACACTGAAACAGGCAAGTTCCACCAAAAGGTTTGGACATGAGATCATTCTCTCAAGTCCTGGGATTGCAACCTCCTTGAGAAGGAGACTGGGGCATGGAAATGTCAGCGGAAAAGACGTATTCCAACTTGGCAGTTCCATTGCAACACTTGCAAGCGCTTGACTTGAATATCACAACTCTCCGTCCAGGCCGAGATCCTCAAGTTGCTTGGTTGTTTGTTTTAATATGATTTAATTATAGCTCTTCAATCTTCAAGTCCATGAAGCGCTTGCAAAATGGGGAAGAACTTCACTGCCACACCAGCCACGAACAAGTCTGTCTTGTGTGCAGCCTGAAAATATGACATGCCTTGCTTAGGGCAAAGGAAGCCTCCAAAGGTCCAAAAATGCTCGATCACTGCTCAATCATGCTTGGCACCCAAGACGAAACAAACTCGCAAACCAACCAGGTCATGAAGGCTAAGCAGCCACAAAACTGCGACCCATCCGGATCCGGCAAGACATTGTCTCGAGAACTGGCTGGCAGTTTCTAGTTGGGACAGAATGTACAATCCAAAAAAAAGGCATTCAACCCAGCGCCATTGGCGCCTCTACCTCCAGATTCAATCGCACTAGGCAGCATGCCTGCAACAGGAACACAGTTCCCTCAGTTGGATCAGAATAGCAAACAGCTTCTCTTTTACACTGTGTGCATTCGTCAGCATCTGTCAACACAGCAAAATCATTGGTTATCGAACCCGTCCCTTTTGTTAGTTAAACTCGGCCCAAGATTCAAGGCCTTACATAAGCAGTGCTGCTGGTGTGGCTGCCACCAATCGTGTCCACAATGCCCTGTGCAAAAGCCAGCTGCTCCAGCAAAAGCAGGTCAATGATATCCCTGTAAAAAACTTATTGTAATAGATAGATAAATAGATAGATAGATAGATAAATAGATAGGTAGATAGGTAGATAGATAGATAAACAAATAGATAGATGGATGGATGGATTGATGGATGGATGGATAGATCGATAGATAGATAGATAGATAGATATTATATTCATACATATACATGGATATATAATCCGGCGCGTCAAGTGCCCCATCTTGGAGCGAGAGAACCGAACGACTTGGCGACAATATTTGGGAATCAAGGCCCCTGCCCGAAGGCAGTTGATGCAGAAACGTCGGAGTGATGCCTGGGAGGAAAAATGTTGAAAGCAAGGCGATGTTTTTTGTGCAGCGAAGACCAAAAGCAAAGCATCCAACCACCTCAATCCACCAAGCCACACGCCATGCTTTTCACAAACCTTTCGGGTAATCTTCCGGCAGGTGTCATAGCAATGGTGGCCTCGCAATGCGCAACCAAAAAACTTGGAGCAGCACTTCACGAGTTTCCCTAATTCGACCACGCATCACGCAGCCATGCCGCCAATGCCGGGGAACAAGTGATGCTCGATCTGGGTTGTGAGGCCGAAGGCCGTATGGAACCTAAGCTGGGGAACTCGGAGCACAAAACTCAAGCTGAGTGATCTCCAAGCCTGTATGCGAGTAAACCGAAGGTGGCCAGCATGCAAAATTGGTTTTGCAGCTGGGATTTTTTTGCGGCTGGGCACCAGAAATCGGACTCGCTCGCGAAGTCCACACTCTCAGCAATCTGCATCTTTGCCCAGGATTCATGCCTCAATCCATATTGGGCAGAAAACCCAATGAGTTTCTACGAGCTTACTCCCCAAGCAGCTTACTGTTTTTGGAGATCTCGCTTCGGAAAAAGAAATTCCTCGTCTGTCCGCCTGTCGTTCTCTTCTTGTCCTTCTTCTGGTGTGCAGCTTGGCCGTGGCTGTCTTGACCTCTTCTCCTCCTGTTGTCATCTTTTTGTCTTCTGTCTACTCCTCCTCTTCTCCTCTTCTTCTTCTCTTGTTGTCCTCGTCTTGTCCTCCCGTTGTCCTCTAGTCCTCCTGTTGTCCCCATGTTGTCCTTCTGCTGGTGTTGAGGGGGCAGCATGGCAGCATGAAGATGTGACACAAGCGCAATCAAAAGGTCCAGTGCGAGAAAACAATTGCACATGCGCAAGCCTTGTGTGGAGCCTAGTGGGAACGCGCCGGGCTTTATCTCAGTTCGTTGCTTGGATTCCCTCATCCTTTTGTCCTCTGTTGTCCACCTCGTGTCATCCTCTGGTCTTTCTGTTGTCCTGCTGCTGCCGCGCTGTTTACGTTGCTTTCCGAGGCAGGGGCTGGGGCTGCGGCCGCCCACAACAACAACAACAACCATTCTTGCCGATTACAGTAAGCTGTTTCGGGTCTATGCTGGCATCTGTTTTCCCATGCAGGCTGCTCTCCGGAGTCCGGGTAGAGGATCACGTGAGCCACTTGCGAGCACGGGACGAAGATTGCACCTGCTGTGAGCCACATGCACCTTGGATCATCAGACCGTCAGACCGTCCCGGGCTTCTGAAAGAAGACTTCTCAATGTGCTCTGAGCCACACATAGCACAAGAAGGACGGTCCTCGGTTCGCGATGTTAGCTGACAGGTTGCCTTCTGCTGTTGATGAATGACAATATTGAGATGTTGCCACATGCCGTCAACACGTTCCTCTTTCTGAATCTAGCAGTCAATACACCATAGCCAAGACACCAAACATATAGTGAAGAAAGCACCACAGTGGGATCTCATACAGAATTCCACCCAAGCCTTGAGATGCGATCCACTGCCGGCGTTGCAAACAAGTCATCAATATGAGGCGTGTGCCTTGAAGCTTGTGTTTGTGTATCATTTGGAGTCTGTCTCCTTAGTTTGCTCTCGCCAAGCCACGGTAGTCCACCTTGTGCCCACCAACCTGAGGGAGCAGGTGGCGCAGTTCTGTTGCAAGATTCGCAGGCAAGCTATATATATATATTCAGCAGTCACCGAGTACTTCTGTGGTACGTGTTTTGATCACAAGGTTGCGGGTGTTGCCAAGAAGCATGCCCGCGGATGAGCAAATCAACGATCATACCTAGGTCCCATTGCATTTGCTCACTTAAGAGTTCAGTCTTGGCCCTTTGCAGGCAAGCGGCGCTTCACTCCAATCTCAATCACAGTGCCAATGAAAATGCCAGGCAGCGACAAGACCTGCTTAGGCATCAATTCGTTCGCCTTTTTTGGTAAAGGCCCCACATGCATAGCCGTGACCGTGACAGAGTTTGGCCACCAAAATGAGGTGCAGCGCTTTGCCTTCAGCCAGCCAGGGAACTTGTCAGCAATCCAAATGTACTCCTTGGTTCCAAAACTGAAGGTGCCAGAGTTTGAGCTCAAAAATTCGTTGCCTCAACTGTTCCTGCTCTCTGCTGACAGCACTTTCAATAAATCTGGCCCAGGCACCACGTCCACATCCTTCTCAGCATCCTTGTCCTGGTTGGTGCTCACGTGGTGGCTGACAACATGCTGATAGTACCAGCACCTGAATTGACACTGAAATGGTCACAAGTACAGTACTCCATCTTACGAAACCAAAACCTCTCGAGACTCAACATCAACAGCCCAACCTGAAACCGTCCAGCAAGAGAATCAGTCAGTGGTTTGCTGTGATGTTCACTGCTTTTTGCCCATGCAGCTGGCGGAGTTATACAAAAAGGATTGAGCCGGCTCAAAATTATGGCTAAAGACTAAAGCGCTCTTCGCGGACGTCAAACACAACCGTCACTCGAGCAAGAAGGTGCTACATAGGCCCCCTCCAAAATACTAGCTCGTGCTTTCAAGCAGGATTGCACTGTCCACATGTGTTCCGTTTTGGTGATACTGGCAGTTCAGCCTCATCATGCAAGGCGTTCTTTCTGTGGTACTGTACCATTTGCCGCTTCCCACAAGAAGTGGGATGTACGCTGTGCTCGAGGTGCGGATTCACACACTCATCGCAGTGGGTTCAGCTTTCCACTGCATTCCCGGCAAGTGTGTCACGTGCCGCATGCCCTATTGCGGGCCCAAATCCTGGCACTGTCCAAAGCCTTGGTATACCCAGATTTACCGAACCTTTTGCTTTTTTTGACAAAGCCTAGAGCTGTCGAAGCTCCCCGCTTGCCAATCCAGACAGGGGGTCCTTCTCAAGACAGGCTCACGCTGAGCCTTCCATCAAAGCCTTGGCAGGATAAGCTGCAAAGGAACGAAGCAATGAATTAGTCCCACAAATGGCCCACCACACCGTGGATTCACACTGGCCCCGGAAGCCAGGACAATGAACAGCGCCCTCGACACATAGCTAAATTAGCAGCCAACTGCACTTCTGACTGGGCATCTCAGGCTTTCCGCGTTTCGCCCTCCCCCCGCCGTGACGCAGTGCTATGCAAACATGCAACAGCAAGCGAACCTGGCTAGGCAAGGCTTGCTCTTGCTTTATAAAAATCTTTCATTTGGTAAGGCCAGAATCCTTGATCTAAAAAAGAATTCTTTAAAAAAAACAGGCAAAAAAGTCAAATGGTAAAGTCAAAGTTAAAAGATGAAAAGTCAAAAAAAATGTTTTAAACAAAAATGTACCAAAAAAAAAAAATCAAAAATGGGCAACTGCACGAAAAAGTCCAACAAAAAAAGTGAAAAAAAAAATATATATATATATATATAACAAATCGGAGAAAAAGGTCAAAAAAGTCAACTACTCGAAAAAGTCAAAAAGAATAGTTGTTTTTTTAAGTCAACAAAAAAGGAAGAAAAAAAAACTTGTTTTTTTCACAAAAGGAGTCAAAATGAGAAAAACAAAAGTAAAGAAAACGTCAGATCTTGTCAAATTGACTTTTTTTACTTTCTGAAACTTTCTGATTTGACTCTTTTTTGACTTTGACTTGTGGGATTGCCTTTTTTGACTTGGTTTAAGATCTGTTTTAAAAAATGAAAACATGCTCTCTCCAATGAAAGATTTATAACTCTTGCTGGTAACTAGAAATGGTACTTTGTTGCATGGAAGTTTGGTGGCTTGCCACCTGACCCTAACCCTTGCATGACTCAACACTCTTGTTGCTTGCAGCTACAGCTTCTGTTGGAATGCAGGGTGCATCAGTTTGGTAGCTGCAAGCTTTGTGGGTGGAAGGCAGGCCAGTGTGTCACCAGCACGTCCCTGCAATCAGCCTGCTGAAGATCACAGCTGCCTTGCTGCCTCGAAGCGACCAACTACAGCCCGGCAACGGCAGTGGGTAAACCCTCCCAAAACCTGGCACTCATCAAACCCAAGGCCCAGGGCGCCTCTATTGCAATGGTGGTCTGCAGCCAGCCACCCAGCCATGCAGCATGGGTGGGCTGGCACCTGCTGCCCACTTCTGGCATCTTGGGCCAGTAAACAAGGGATGCGGTGGGTAGGGTTTCACAGTGGGAAACTGCTGCGTGCTTTGCTTGAAACATGGCAGAAAGTGGGGGACGTGCTGGAGCATTTCTTGGGGTGCCCGCTGACGGCAGAGGCCTTGTTGAAAGTTCGGACAGACTTATTGCAATGCAAAAGAGAAGACTTCGTGATCCTTCCTTTTTGGACGCCGCTCAGCGCGTGGGAGGTGAGGAACACGTGGATGCAGCATGAACGGTTGCCGAAAGCATGCCCTCTCTTTTGCTAAGACTCAGTGGTGAAATTGTGTTGCTTTCAGGTTGCACTCAGAAACGATTATATAGAGACCTCTTTGTTTGCCTTTGGTGCTGGCCTTAGATGTGCTCAGTTGTGGTCAGGATAGCGCCTACGCTTTGTGCTTTTTGCCTGGCCCGTCCTCTGACACCGAATCGGTGCAACAGCACCGATTCGGAAACATGGAAAACAAGTCTCCCGATGTAGTGGCCTCCCCTTCGTTCTTTTCTGAAACCCCAGCTAGTTTGTCCTAAGCTGTCCTCGTGACCGGCATCAGCGCGAGCAAAACTCCTTTGCCGGTTTTGCTCGTCTTGGTTTTATTGTTGGAGCCGTGGTTGTGCTGCAGCCGTTGCTAGGCTGGCAGCGCGGCGCGCTCATTTCTAAAGAAAAGCCTCCAACTCCTTCACCATGAAACGTCTACAGTCTACCTGCACGTCTATGCCAAGAAGCGGCTATGTTAAGTCCACCAGTGCAATGGGGCACGTCAGACACGATGTAACAAGATGCCGCAAGTCTTGAGAGAGAACCATGATCGTGTATAGGCTCTGTCCCCTGACAGTGACCATGACTGACTCTGAGATGCGGACATTGAAGGGCCAACAATAAAGAAACCCAGGAAGAGCGCAAGGCGATTCACCCACTCCTGGTGGCCCGCTGATCTGCAATTACGGTCGGCGCTGGTGATTAAAAAGCAAAACTCGCAGCTACGGTCACTAATTGCCAGCCCAGAGTCTTTTCGGCTGATTTGCCAATGACCACCCTCATGAGAAAGGCGAGTGGCAACTGTCGCAACCAGGCAACCAGCAAGCAAACCTCAATGCAGCAAAGGGCAGTGATCACACAAACCGAATACACAAGGGATGAGGGATGTCACTGCCTGGGCGCCTGCATGCCTGCGTCTCTGCCTGCCTGCATGTCTGCATACATGCGTGCCTGACTGCGCTGAGCGCAGAAAATAAACTATCGAACCAGGAAAACATGTGTTCTCCAGCTGCAAAATGTGTTCTTGCACATGTAGGTCTAGGTGCAACCTGTGTTTCTGTCTACTGTGCCAGAAAGAGCAACAGCTAAAACAAATACACACACATTGGAGTACAAGGAGCAATTGACACATCCAATGTGAGGTCGTGGACCGAACTGGAAAATCACACTGAGAGGACGTACAATGCTGGCATCCACGCAGTATTCGCATAATATACTCTCAACATTTACTATATTCATCTATATTCACTTGAAACAGCCTGTAAAGGCTGAAGGTGTTGCTGTAGAGTGGCTGGATAGAGGGGTGGCCACGACGAAAAAGAGCCACATCCTTGGAACCACGAAGAATCTCAAAGCTAGTTTTGAGAGGTGCCGGGACTTAATTTCTGGTGGGGCCTGTTCCGGCCGCACTGAAGAAAAAAAGAACATATATATATATATAGATATACTTCTGGCAAGAGTCATCAAAGACCACGCTGCTGCCAAGCCCTTGGGCGCCGTCAAATAGGAAAGCGCTGATTGCACGTAATCTGACCACTGACTGAAATTAACGTCAGCATTGAGACAGTACTTCTCACGTGCTGCCCATGTGACGATCATGGCGTGGGTCCGCATCTTTGTGCTACCACAACCTTCTGGGAAAGCTTCGCGAACACCAGCCTCACTGTCACAGCACTATGTCAGGCCAACAGTTGAAAGGTGCATGCAGCATTATCATGGCCTTGATCTCCTCGTAAAAGGGGTCTGGTGGAGGCGGTGCTGCCCCATAAGCACGAAGAATCTTGCGGTGCTTGTCGTTCCAAGGATGGTACCTGCAAATGTGTCAAACCTGGTTTCTCATCCATGTGGCCAGACTGTCAGTTTACAACATTCCAAATTGAGCAACAGTTGATAATGAGGAACGGAAGCAGCTGACTTTAGCAAGAGGCAGCAAACGTCTCGCGCGATAACCACTTGCCAAAAGCCCATAGTCAATCATGTCGGTCAAACTAGATTTATCTGTGCGATGTTTTTCCCGCTCGGCCCCCTGCCCTCCTAATAATTACTTGTATATATATATATAATTAAGTAGAGACGCCTGCTTAATTTTCGCCCCTAGCTACTAGGAAGCTGGCATATGGACAGTTCACGCACTAATGATTTCGGTTCCTGGATTTTTGGGGCAACTTACTACATCCGACAAAAAGGATTAAAAAAAAAAAATCAAATCGATCCCATTGTCTGCGCAACCCCCCAGCCATCAGCCAACCGGAACAATTGAATTACACCAACATAGACCCCAGATAGCAAAAACATGCAAGATTTTTCTCGACTGCACCCTTCATTGGCAGCTCCAAAGCACACACAGGAACCAGCATAGACAGCGCCCGACCAGCGCCGCCGCCCGTCTCAAACCTCAGCCAGCTCACAGCACCAACACCCAGGACCACAACACCAGCACCAGCACCGACACCCCTTCGAAAACGCTCGCAGCCAGCTCATTCCTATTTGCAGTAAGAACCCCATAGCTATCCCTATTTGGTGAACAATCACGCATGATCTTGCTCATATAAATTTATGCGCACAAAAGTGCGCGCGCTATCAGCAAAGCCCGTAAGCGTCATTGGCCCAAGGCCAAGCAATATCCAGCGCCACTCTTGACTTTGTAGCATGCTTGAAGCAACGATCTGTAGAACGATAAGGCGATATGATCTTGCGCGTATAAGTTATGCGCACAAAAGTATGCGCACAAACGGCAAAGCCCGTAGTGTGGACTTGCACAGGATAGGGTTGAAGCCTGTAATTAAGAAAGTCGTCTGCGATTAAGCCTTTTTTAAATGCTACATCTGACTGATCATCTCCCAAAATTGAGGAACCTGGTTTTTGAAGGACAATTGGAAAAGACCGTTGGAAAAAGGAAACTGAGGGGACGTCGCACACGCAAAAACCTTATTTCGCGGCCTCACAGGTTGTTTTCAGGCAAGGTTTTTACCCTGCTCCAATCCCCAACTTCACACATGGGCCTTGGGACACCCAAACAGTTGTTTGTGCTCTTGAACTATTAGTTCAGGTTTGTAAAAAGGTTGTTTTTGCATATTTATATATATATATTACACATCTCCATCATTTCACTGTCCCAATCCTGGCCTGCATGTGAATGCAACCCCTGAAAGAAGGACTCTGGTCTGTCACTTCAATATGATCTGGGAATGGCATGACAGGGCAACAATGGCAGTAACGACGGCAGCCGTTAAGCAAACCTGCTCTGTCACCTGTCACATGAACACATTCCTTAATCGCAGGGTCAGATTCCTTAATCGCAGGGTTGATTCCTTAATTACAACATGTATGTTGTAATTAAGGAATCAACCCTGCGATTATGCGATTAAGGAATCTGACCCTGCGGTTAAGGATTTGGTTTCACCTTAATTACAACACGCATGTTGTAATTAAGGAATCTGACCCTGCGATTAAGGATTTGGTTTCGTGAATTGAAGAATGAAGCCCGCAAAATTGTAGGATCCTGCAAGTTGTATTGTTGCCGCAAAAGCCCATTTCAGGGAAACCCATGGTAGATTCACAGTGTGTAGACTATCCAACTGTGTTTTTGAGGACCATCAACTAGCTGCTCAGATTTTAAAATGTTGGTTCTGAAACTCAGATTCTAGCATTGATTTGTGACTTGAAAAGCCTTAATTACAGCCCTTCCCTTTGGTTTGGGCCTCTTATGAATCTGAGCAGAACTACCTCACCGGTGCTCCGCGCGGTTGTGTGTCCATCACGCTTTCCAAAAAGACCCCCGAAACACCAGATTCCTTAATCACAGGGTCGCTGCTAAAACGCAGGGTCCTGCGCAAGTCCCTAGCCCGTAGGCTTCACTCGCCCAAGGCCAAGCAGTGTCCAGCACGACTACAGTGTGTAGCATGCTGAAACAATGGCTGGTTGAGAGCCTGACGTTGCGACGTGCAAAAGTATGCGCGCAAACAGTACAGCCCTTGACACAGCTGTCGCACCCAACACCGGTACCCAGCACCCAGCACCAGCGATCAGCAGCGCCCGGCACCCTGTCGGGCCACGCTGATGACTTCAATCCTAATTGAACTCGGCCAGGTCTGCCCCCAACTAATGCTGTTTAGCTTGCCGTGCATGCTTGGACGCGGCAAGTTATCTGTAGTTGGTATGCAATCGCCGGGCACATATCCTCGACCACAACCAAGCCATCCGGGACTTGGCAAAAAAGGAACATATTCGCCCCTCTTACACGCTCTCGCTTTAGTTAGAAACCATCCGTGGAAGGCATTTAGCTGCATGGAAGTGTATTAAAAAGGTACTGTCAACAATATTAGTCACATCAAGTGACTGGAAAACTGTTAATCTGCAAGGGGGGGCCCGATGCGACGGGGTCACATCAGGGTCACATCAGGTTCCTGTTTACAAGGCGCTTTAGTGTTTGAAACATGTTTTGGTTTTATACAAAATTATTCCATTTCCTTTGCGGAAGCAGCAGCAGTAGGCATTTACACCAGCAGCACACCAGCAGCAGCAGCAGCTACCACCACCACCAACACAACAACAACAACCAACCAACCAACCAACCAACCAACCAACCAACCAACCAACCAACCAACCAAACAAACAAACAAACAACAACAACAACAGCAACAGCAACAGCAATAGCAGCAGCACAGCAGAAGGAGCTAACAAGCAGCAGCAGCAGCAGCAGCAGCAGCAGCAGCTAACAAGCAGCAGCAGCAGCAGCTAACAAGCAGCAACAGCAGCTAACAAGCAGCAGCAGCAGCAGCAGCAGTTAACAAGCAGCAGCAGCACAGCAGCAGCAAACAAGCAGCAAACAAGCAGCAAACAAGCAGCAAGCCAGCAGCAAACCAGCAGCAAACCAGCAGCAGACAAGCAGCAGACAAGCAGCAGCAGCACAAGCAGCAGCAGCAGCACAAGCAGCAGCAGACAAGCAGCACACAAGCATGCAAGCTGCACAAGGCAAGCAGCACACAAGCATACAAGCATACAAGCAGCAGGAGGATATGGTGGTTCTAGGGGAGGTATGGGCGAGGTCCAGGCGAGGTCCAAGGCAGTATATCCCAGCCCAAGCACCATGCCAAGCCCAGAAGCACCCAAGCTCCACAGTGCACATGGCCACATGCCTAAGATCCAAAGTGCACACAGCAGCACCCTGCAGCGGCACCAGCACCCAAGCTCTCAAGCGCACACAGCAGCGGCACTCTGCAACGCGCCAGCACCCAAGCTCCCCAGCACACCCTGCGGCGGCACCAGCGCCCAAGCTCGAGCACGCAAACACGCAGCTCCTCCTACACTGGAACAACAGCGGCACCCTTCAGCGGCGCCAGCACCCACGCTCGAAAATGCACACACGCAGCTCCTTGAAGTAAGAACCCTAATAGCTCACGCTGTCTGTTGAAAAACACGATGCAATGATGCAACAAGGTTGTTGAATCTATCACACAAGCAAGCAACGCATGGGCACAGCACATTAACATCAGCTCGTAGAACAAATAGAACAACAACAAACATCCATAGAAAAGCCAATCCTCAAGGGCACACCATTTTGATACGACTTTCCTCCAGTTGATACGACTTAAAGCGAGGCCCCAGTAGCATTGAAAGAAAGGTTAGCTAGATCATTTGCATGTCGCATGTTCTCAAAACAGCATGGAATCATGAAACCGATGCGACTTCCCGAAGACCTTTCGACGCGAGTAACGGCAACATTTAGCGCAAACCGATGCGACTAATCTATCTGAGAGTATGCTTGGAAAACAAAATTACTTTCAGCCTTGAAAAATGATTCTTTGGAGGCAACACAAAGGCGACTGATCATCATTTAGCAGGAATGGCCCCAAAGTGATATCACCTAAGTTGCTAAGATCATGTGTCGGAGCCTTTGGAGTGGACTTTGCTTGGAATAAAGGCCCCACCAAAATATGTTTCCAGACCACTAAAATCTTTTCCAGGATCACGAGGGCTGGAGCTCCAAGGAATAAGAATGGAGCCACTTCTTATTTATGGCGCTCATGGTTAGAGTCAGAGTGCCAGAGAAAAAAAATTACACCAGCATAGACCCAGATTGCTAGGCAGAATCCCACGACGTGTTGACACGCGGCTGGCTGGAACAAGGCTGCACAATGTACATGCACCCAGCACCGGCACCCTGTCTCCACCACGTGCACAGCCAGCACCCAGCACCCAGCACCAGCACCAAAGTTAGCACCAGCACCCAGCACCCAGCAAAAGTTAGCACCAGCACCCGGCACCGGCACCCTGTCTCGAAAGCGCGCGCAGCCAGCTCATTATTATTTGAAGTAAGAACCCCACCGCTATCTGGGGAATTAATCAATCGAAGAGCAATGCAGCATGCAGAGATAGAGGCAATGGACTGTTCCAAGATGATGTCAAGTTACAAAGTTCACTTCTGGGGGCTCTCAGTGCCTTATCATTGAGTGCGTTTGGGGAAACTAGTGACTGCCTCTTAGTGAGTCATATCATATGCGCCTTCTCCTGGCGCCAGCCAATCACTGCGACCCCTTATGATTATCAATGATCAACCTTGCTCAAATCGAGACTGCCACATCATGCACGTACATCAAAATCGGTAAAAGAAAATTCAAGCGACCGAAGGCCCCGCACGATTCGAAGAGGGCTGTGCAGTCGCGACCGCGACCTGCCACGACAAAGGCACTACCACGAAGACATCTGCAAACCAAATCTGCGAACATACATACATAGATATATACATGTCCTAGTAGCGATGCCAGGAGCCCCCAGTAGCTTCATGTTCCTGGTAGTAAGGCCAGGAGCCCCTAGTAGCGTCCTTGCTCCTAATAAAAACAGAACCACCTAGTAGCTTCTTGTTACTAGTAGAAATGCCAGGAGCTCCTAGTAGCTTTGTGCTCCTAGTAGCGATGCCAGGAGCCCCTAGTAGCTTCTTGTTCCTAGTAAGGCCGGGAGCCCCTAGTGACGTCCTTGCTCCTAAAAAAAGCAGAACCACCTAGTAGCTTCTTGTTACTAGTAGAAAGGCCAGGAGCTACTAGTAGCTTCTTGATCCTAGTAGCGATGCCAGGAGCCCCTAGTTGCTTCTTGTTCCTAGTAATAAGGCCAGGAGCCCCTAGTAGCGTCCTTGCTCCTGAAAAAGCCAGAACCACCTAGTAGCTTCTTGTTACTAGTAGAAATGCCAGGAGCTACTAGTAACTAGTAGTTTCTTGCTCCTAGTAGCGATGCCAGGAGCCCTTCTTGTTCCTAGTAGTAAGGCCAGGAGCCCCTAGTAGCGTCCTTGCTCCTAACAAAAAACAGACAGGAACTACTAGTAGCTTCTTGCTCCTAGTAGCGATGCCAGGAGCCCCTAGTAGCTCCTTGTTCCTAGTAGTAAGGCTGGGAGCCCCTAGTAGCGTCCTTGCTCCTAATAACAAAACAAGGAACCACCTAGTAGCTTCTTGTTGCTATAGTAGTAGAAATGCCAGGAGCTAATAGTAGCTTCTTGCTCCTAGTGGCAATGCCCTTTGTTACTAGTAGCTTCTTGTTACTATATAATAACAATGGCCTCCAACCTACTTGCCATGGCCTCCTTAGAAGCAACAATTAACAGGCAAAGGGTCAGGTGTGGCCGCATGTGATCAAGCATGCCCCAAATGCCATCTGGAAAGCAGCCAAGTCACCAGTCAACAGGGCCATGCGTCCGCCGGGGTGCTTGTCAACAAACTCATGCCTGAGCGCTATATGTTGCATCTCTGATAGAAAATGCAGTGCATTTTTGTCCTCACGGCCAAGCAGCAAGTCGTAGGTGTTTCCATGGATATACCACAAGTTTGGATCGTACACCATGCGCTTGGAAGAGGCCTCCTCGGCTAAGGGCTGGGCACTCTCGGGACTTGCAGTTTTACAATGGCAAAGCTCTGAAAGGTGCTGCTACTTGCGCTAATGGTTCGTTTTGGCACTTGTGCGCACTACTGCCACTCACCTGAAAATATGGCCCCCCAGCGGTCAGCGACTTGCTCAATGACCGCCGTGGTTCAAAACAATTTACGCAAACTGGCGGCACCAGACCGACAAATACACCGGGCGGGTGCACAAAACCGAGGGGATCATGTCACGGGACTTGCACAACCACCACAACATCAAAACCAACAAAAGGCAACAAGAAAGTGTTGGCTGTCTGTGTGCTCATGCGAGGAAACGCTCCACCCTGCCCATAGCATCCTCATTTCCATGCCTGCAACAAGCCTGAGGTTTGAGCACGCAATGATCAGCCGTTGTAAACACAACGACGGCAAGGCCTTCCCAACATGCTGGCATGACCCTCGCTGATACACGCTGCCAATGGCTTGCGTCTACACTTGGCCAATGACTTGCCTGTACATGTCGTGTTCGCGGCCTTGATATAGGTTGGCAGGATTTACCGAAGCACAATTACAACGCGCGTCGGAAACGTGCATTGAAAACCACATAACCGCGAAGCAATGACCTTGTCAAGACTGCGCCTAGGGCAGCAACGGGCCATTCCAATCTTAAGTACCTTTTGAGGTGGACAGCTAGGAAGGCAGCATTCCGGACCTTAGGATACTTTAGGCCTTAGGCACCCTGCCAGTGTGTTATCACTCTATACGTTTTCTAGTTTGTTTGCGTTGTTGTTTTGATGCGTTTAGCTTGAGGGAAGCTTTGTGCGCACTGCGGAAGATGGCTAATGGAGCCACTTTGTAGCCTTGCTCCTTAAATTTCCACGCGCGGGGCACAAGGAATGGTAAATTAGATGTTGAACTCAGGCTACTAAAATGTTCCTGATTAACCCACTACGATCCGACGATCTGTATTAGATAAATTTAGAGAACCAGTATGTTCTCCACTAGTCCACCCCTGCAGTTAAGGGGATGCGTAAAAGCTACAACCACAATATTCACTCCCTCCATCCATGCGTGCGCTTGTGAAAGGTTGCATGCAAGTGAGGCGATGGCGCCGTACGAAAGTGGCCGACGGCCGGTAAACAAGAAGAGTAGCCACCGACGCATGCAATGGAGCATGACATCGCCAAAGGAGCAGCTCAGCTGTCATGGAAGCTGGCTGCAAACTTAGAGCTGAACATCATGACATATGCATTGAATTGTGCCAATCATATTGTACCAAACAACTTGACTCGTGCGGACTAGATTGGCATATCACCAGACAAGCAGGTGTCAAGCCCACTTGATCCAACAGACATGACTGAGCAATCAGTAAGCCTCCGGCATGGTTGCAGAAGCGGAGAGAGGATGCCGAATGCCCTCTTTCCCCGTGATACAGGCACAAACACATGTCAAAATTAAGCAGCGTGGACGGGTGCAACTTCTGGCTATGTCCGGCGGGCCGCTCTGCTCTGGCAAGACAGGGGCCGAGAATGGCCGAGCAAGGTGACTGTTCACGAGAGGATCCAGCGTTCCGATCTGCACATATTTCGCGAGAGTGCAGAGTCAGGTTCGCAGCAGGCATGAGTAGCACAGCGGAAGGAAGTTGTGACAAGAAGCCATGGGCTTGCAATCATTTGCTTGCGCTTTTTGTCCCATTCCTCTACCTTTGAAACGTTCCTCCCTCTGCGCGCTGTTTCACGGCTGGGGACATTCCTACGTCTATTACCGCAGTCCTGTCGACTAAGGACACCCCTCTTGATTTTGAGTGCTCAGGGATGACCACAACCAACAAAGGTAAGGTTGCAAGTACCTGCAACACCGATTCTGAGGGCAGGGACGCGTTGCAAGTTACAAGGAGGTTCTTCCTTGCCAAGCTCAACTCACAACTTTGGAGACTCATGGAGCAAATGTTGCAGCCGAGCTGGCTTGACCTAACCCATTCGCCTGAGAGTCTCGTCTTAGCTTTGTGCCGTTTGGCTTTGTGCATCCGCAGCTGTTCACAGTGAAGGTAAACTACTCAAGATTGATTTGACCCTTGCAACCACTCACCCACGAAAACTCTGAGTTCAGGTAAAGTCTCTTTGGCGGAGGATAAAAAAATACGAGGTTTCCTACACCTTTTCCGCAACGGACCTTCAATGTAAGCTTGACAGGCTCAAAAAGAACAAAAATGTTCAATGCCTGATATTCAGAAAAGTTTGACAGGCATAAAAGAATAGTCTTAGAAAAGAACATAATTTCCACAGTGTTAAGGCCCTTTTCTTTATGAACGTGTTGAGGTTCACTACACCTTCTGTGCATCAGACCCTAACATTCAAAAAACCTTGGCAAACACACAGAACAAAGATCTCCATAGAGCGAGAAAGTTGTAATGTTTAATCTTTCTAACCTGCCGAGGCTTTTGGGGGCCAAACATTCAACATGTTTGTTGTTTTTGCCTATTGGGATTTTGAGTTCATGTCCTCCATCAATCCCCGTTGACAAGGAACGAATGACTGTGACTATGTTTGATAGGCCAATCATCCTCTGGCATTTGGCATAACTGCTTTAATTTCGATTATATATTTAGTGCGGATGCGGACCTTGTCTTGAGCCGCTATGCGACCTGCGGGGTAAATGTGAAACACTGAGTTCATCTACAAGAGTTAGGCACTCCTCCGGTGCCGGAGTTAATGGTGCTCTCTTTTCCCGCGCGATGTTCCACTTAATCTGTGATGAAAACCACAACTTTCCGTAGCTCCCCGTAGGGTTTCCGCAGCTTCACTGTATCACCAACTCTGTTGTACAACTCGGTACTGTTTTCAAATTTCAACAATTCTTCTCGCGCCTGCAATGACGCTCTGGCCCTCAAAGTGCCCATCTTCTCAACGACATCTATGAGTCCATCTGTTACTTCTCCTTCTCCAGTAGCTCTCACTGCCCCTGCACCTGTCATATCAACATCATTGTCTGGAAGCTCTGGTCCTTCCACTCCTCTTTCTGGTTCATCTGGTGGCTCAAATGGTGGAGGAGCTGTGAGCTGCCTCTCATCCACCGTTCTCGACACTATTTCTGCGCTTAAATATTCCACTGGAATCTCAACTTCTTCTCCACTATCCAGTAGAAATGCAGCTGTCATGCCAATCAGATTCTCTTCATTCTCTTCCCCTGCCATTTCCTCTCAAAGGCGCTGGAGTATCCTCCCTTCTGTGTGATTCACTTCTCGTCTCCTCACACTGGTTTCACATGAGCCTCTCTGCTATTTGCTCTTGTCCCCAATTTTGATTGCCCTTCTCAAGAAACTTCATGCATCTCTCTTCTTCTGAAGTCAATTCTTCTTGTTCCACATAGCCGTTCTGTTTCACTGTGGCTCTGCGAAGACGTTGGCAATAATCATCTCTCATAGAATCAAAATTGCCCTTGATTGATCACATAGGACTTGAACTCGTGTCTGGCTTCCTCAATTTCGTCCTTTGCTGAACTCAATCCCAAGATCTGAAATCTCAAAGCTAATTCATTTTCTTCCATCCTCTTCTCTAGCTTCTTGTACTTCTTCCAGATCAGGAATACACCAAATAGAACTACTGCCACTGCGAAAAGAACAACCCAGACCATGTTCTTGACAAGTTCTCCCCCTGCAATGTCATCTCGATCTTTCCGCCTCTGTGTTACGTGCGCCACTGACCCAAGGCCGCTTGCATACATAATCTTCTCGAGTGCTTTGGCTAAACTTTGGACCTTGCCACGTTGCATCTCTCTCTCTCTCTCTTCAACTTCCTGTCTTTCCTTCTCACCGACTCTGTTGCCATTTCCATCGATGCATGGCATTTGCGCAGTAAGACTTTCAACCTTTGTTGACTAAGCGGTTTGGTTCCGATGTCTGACACGTTGTGAATCGTTCCAATCAGCTTGACTTCAAGTTCTTTCGAAGAAATCTTGACACCATGGAAGTTTTTCACTGACGCGCCTCAACTTTCCACTTCCTCGTTTGCACCTGATCTGTCTCGCTGCTGAATTCTCCATCAAGCAAAAATGTTGGACTTCTTCGTCTGTCAGAAATTTGAGACATCATTTCCGAACGAATACTCCATCCGTCACACGCGCCTCCAACTAGTGCATGTAGTTCACTCTGACTCAAACTGACTACTTTCTGTCCTCTCATTTCAAAGACCACACATCCATTCACCGCATGTACAGATGAAGATGTAGATGTTCGATGTCCTTTGTGTCCGCTCCAATCTGCATCCGTGCGACAGTATGCACATGGAAATGGAATCTTCACACGTTGACCTTCTGTTGACTTCAGATAGCCAATCAGCTTCTTCATCCTGCTTATACTCACTGCCGTTGGCGTCGACGTAGAGGACGCAAGCTCTTTGATCGCGAAGCTCGAATCCAATCTTTCCTGTGACAAGTAGATGCCACTGCCCACTAAGGGTCGGTATAGCGCTATCTCCTCTTGACTCAATTCCTCAGATCCATAGGCTTCTTGGATATCTCATCCTCAAAATACTTTCTGCTTCTTTGTGTGTCCATAGAAATCTTCAAAGTTCTTGATCGTGTCATTGGCATATCATCCTGGCATGATATACAAGCCGTCATTCCCAAGCTTGTAGGTACGCTTAAGGACTTGAAACTCATCACGGCGGCTTGATTTGGCTCACTGAGATTTCAAACTTTTCTCTTAGCTGTTGAATGAAGTCCTGAACTGCCTCCTCCTATCCGTAGTACAAGATGTCATCGACATGGATAAGCACAAAGACTTGCTCTGCCTTTCTCCTAAGACATGCGTTCTCTTTGAAGAATTCAAACCCAATGCTCTCCAGAAACTCAACTAAATGGTTGAACCATGCTTGAGCTCCCTGTCGTTGACCTGGCAAGTTCTTCAACACTCTAAATCTTCCCAGGTTTGTTGTCGCCTGCAATTCTTTCTTCTGATCCACTTGTAGGAACGCGTCTTTGATA